TCAGTCAGTTCTTTAAATTTGGTCTCTGTTAGACGAATCTAACGTTTTAGACAATATATGAAAAATGAACACTTTATCTTTAAACATAAGATAGTAATTGTAATAAACGTTTGAGATAAAAAGCGTAAGATAACGAATTTTAAATTCACAAGTATAGTAGTAGAACAAAGCTCGTTGAATGCAAAGTGATTAAATGTAAGGATGGAGGGTTAGGGTTTACATACAGTAAGTCCCAGAAAGCTGTAGGATAGAAAGACGACATTTAAGTAATAATTAAGTGTATTTGATGTAGTTACAGAGCTAATAGTTATATAGCAGTAGCTTTAGAAGCAACTTATTAAGTGAAATGGGTCTGTCTGCACTGCATAATTGCTGTGTCTTATGTTCATTGGAATATTTAAAATCATAAATTGAATAGTAAAGTCGTCTTTTTAACCCGAAGGTTTCTGGTTATCACTGTACATTTTACTTGTTCGTATTTAAGGTTTATAAAAAAGACCGGCCTTCATACTCGTCTACCCGAAAAAGTCTTTGCCACTAATTCAAATTTTTTAATACCTATTGTTTTTAATACCTATTGTTTTTAATACCTATTGTTGTGTATGATTTATATGTTTTGAATACCTATTGTTGTGTATGATTTATATGTTTTGAATACCTATTGTTGTATATGAAAGAATACGAAAATAAGGAGATATATTTTCTCCAGTTTGAAGGACTAGGCTAATTTATTCAACCTGACTATTAAACAATATACGGTATAAATAATTTATTGAACAGTAAATCATAAAAATGAGGTTGATACTAATACTAATGTTGAAGAGAAATGAAGTTTAAGCTCAAGTTTCCGTTCCTTGTATATACACGTAAAATGAAGGTTCGTCATCAACTTTCGGCAGATCAGGTACACGTTGACCTGCTCCCTTCGTCTTGGAAATCCCTAGTCCAAGCTAGGATTCCAGGTGATTCAACCGTCCCTGGGCCACTTACTTTGGCATCAGGTTAAAAATAGATTTCTCAACAGAATCTGTACAAATATAGAATCCAGATAAATATTCTGAGTTCGCAAAATCAACATTCTGCTCAGCTGCTACACTATATCTTGGTAACCTAATGCTTTGATATTTTAAACTTAAAAATCTATTGAGTTACAAAGATATAGGCAGTAGGAAATCAGAGTTTGTAGCAAAGACTGAATTACTTTGTACACAAACTCCATCACACCCTATTTTTAATATTGATTTAAAGAATTCTTATTAACTGATTTAATAACAGGAAACAGGAAGTGTGTGGATTGAGTTCATAAATAAATATAAATATCTAAAGAATCTTAATTTTTAACTATCCAGTAACCATAAGGTCCCACAAAAAAATGTGCGCCTGATCGATTCAGTCGTTTTGACGTTTATCGGATACAAACAAACAGTATTGATACACAAATGATGCGCAATTTCGTGCAAAAAAAGTCATTTTGGACTTAAACGCGAAACTGTTGCCGCATGAGAATCCACTGTTTCGTGGAAACCATAATCTATTCTAAGTTTTTTATGTATCACTTTTTCACTTTGTGTTTTGCTTCTTTGTAACGCTTTACTTTGTAACTGTTTGTAACTTAGTAACTCTTTACCTTTGTATCTTTTTAACTTTTTCAGTTGTCACTATTTCACTTGTCAATTTTTCCCTTTTTATTTTTTCAATTGTCACTTTTTCACTGCTTTTAATTGTTACTTTTTTACTGTCACTTTTTCACTTTAAAACTTTTCAATTTTGTGCAACTGTCACTTTTATTCAGTCATACTAAAAAATTGTGCTTCTGTTTTTTATTTCTGTACACTTTGTGTTCTATGTAACTCCATGTATCGATCTATCTTTTTTATTCTTAAAATTTTGCTCTTGTTTGGTAATTTGAGACTAATTAGATTCATTCCTTTAATCTTTAGTTCTACAGTTCTACACTAGTCAAGTACTTTTTGTTTTAATACAGTGCTCCTTGTAAAAACTGGAATAGAAAGACGATCTGATTTTAAATCTAAAGTGCAGGTGTTATAAAAGTTAATGATTGAAAAAAATGTTAGAAAATTATAACAAACCAGAGTTCAGAGTTGTCATGTGTACTCATAAATATCCGTGGAATAGAAAGACGACTGTTAGACATAAGTTACAATTTTAAATATTCTTATGCAAGGTTATAATGCAAGGAAAGTTATTTCAGAGGTGTACGCATCTTTTGGACGGTAATGTAAACACAAGACAGATGTCACAGCCTGACATGGAATCCATCTTTCACATAAAAAATCAATGAAATTTTCTTGTTATAGGAAACTATTATGTGAATTATCAAAATTATCAAAATTTAATGCTTTTATCCTCCTTGGATACTAAACGAACACTGATGCATCTATTCTTGTTTACAAATTCCGCCCAGAGAGAACTGGTTTCAATATGTACGCAGAGTATACGCAACTGCAATTAACTTTCCTTGCATTACAACGTTGGTCTTATGAACCTAACACACAATTGCGTAGTGTACGTATCAAAGCCAATTTTCACGTAATAAGTTCCTGTTCAAGCATACGGTAAAAATATTGTGTAAGAACATCCAAAATACACTTTAGTATTGTTTTGATATCGTCTTCCTGGTTCCTATTCAATTGTTTTCTGGTTCTCCCTGTATCACACCCTCTCTACACAAAAACAAAAGACTAACTATATAATTTTGGAATGTTCTTAGTGTATTGTTAAAATTCTTTGTTGCCAGTTGAGTGGGTTGACTTTAAAAGAGAAAACTTAGGTTTCAGTCAAAACTGGGTTCCCAATGTAGCTTAAACATTCCTTTCAACATTACAGTGGTCGATCACATGACGTCTCTTGCTTGTGGTCGTACTGTGGTCGTATGCATTATCTATCTATCAGATAAGAATTTTGCGTGAGACATCTAGAGGCCAAACGATCGTTCCTCAAAGTACGTAAAGAAGACTACCACTTTGTAGACAAGCGGCCTCTGAGGCCGTTCCTTCCATAAACTACATTGGTCGACAACTCGACGTCTCCTATATTGGAGTCAAGTGTACGGAGAAATTATCTATCTATCAGATAATAATTTAGCATGAGACATCTAGCAACCAACATATCGTCCCCCAAAGCAAGGTTGTAATGCAAGGAAAGTTATTTCAGAGGTGTACACATCTTTTCTACTGCAGTGTACTGTCTCTGTGCGGTAATGTTAACACAAGACGGATTTCGAAGCCTGACATGGAATCCATATTTTACATAAAAAATCAATGAAATATTCTGTTCATATGAAACTATTATGTGAATTATCAAAATTATCCAAATTTAATGCAAAAATATCCTCGGATACTAAAGGAACACTGATGCATTTATTCTTGTTTAAAGATAACTGGTTTTAATATGTACGCAGAGTTTACGCAACTGCAATTAACTTTCCTTGCATTACTACCTTGCCCCAAAGTACGTTTTACACAGTACACAAGTACAGTCCATAAATAACATTCAAATTCAAAACAACTGTTCATGTGATAAAGCACAAACCTGGATTTTAAGTTTATAGCACGATAAGTTTATGGGACTTTTTGTTACATAATTTTATAGTATATGTCTAAAAACTTTTTAAAAATCTTTCCAATTTCTATTTGTTGATGCATTTGAAAACTGAATATATAAAGGAGTAGACTCTACCAGATTAAAGAAGTTTCTACGAAAAAAAAAAGTTATGAAAATAATTATGAACACTAAATTTTTTTCACAGAAAATAAATAACGCACAGTTCCTTTCAACATATCGATATTTAACAGTTACAGTTACTTTACAAAATGGAAGCGATTGATCTTGTTACATTTACATTGAGGTATAAAATTCATTGTTTGAATTTGCGATCTTTAATGTCATGTCGCAATTAAGCATAAAATATTCAAGTTTTTTTAGTTGAAATGTATCGTCAATTTATTTATTCATTTGGCTTCTCTGTCGTTGGTTTGTCTGTCCATTGGTTTGTTCGTTCGTAATCAAAACATTTGAACCTGTTCTTGTGGTAACTCCCATGAACCCCGAAATTATCAATGGCCTGAAGAAATTTTGAAATGTACCTCATAATAATTTCTATTTATAAAGATTTTCTAAATTTGCAAGTGGAAAATGGAAAATCCGCAAAATCAATCTTTGTAGTATAAAGTTACTTTAAAATGCAACATAACCTATAAAAAATGAGGACCGAGTTGAGATAATTAAGAAACATATATATATATATATCGAATAATTCAAATATGTTTAGAATGGGGACGAATGCTGTGACGATTGAAGAATTTCCAATGGAGACCTCTTGGGGTCATCTGAAAGAAAAAGCCAAGTAAGTTTCATATTCACGCTCCTCTGCCCTTTTAGTAAAAGTAAATTAACATATATGAAGCATAAAGTCTGACCGCGTCAACCTTGTTGCACAGGCTAGTCCTGTTGATTGTCTGCTTAAGCTTAATTATGCCAATGTCCATGCGGTACAGTGTACAAACTCGGACCGGAAAGGTTGACCCAGCTCGGAAATTCAAATGTATTATGGCTGCCCGTGATTTGAAAGAATATCTCGCGTTGTAATTTCAAGCAAAGGATTGGATTTACAATTCGATACCATTTAAAACTTTGTCTGATGGCAAGAGTTAAGGAAAAGGAAAAGATTTAATGGGACCATTTTAAAACGGATATATACCACTCTTTTAAATTAGTTGTCATTTACAATAACAGCTCCTTTAAAGGATAGACATATTACTTTAACAAACAGGGTTACCCACAAAAGATAATACTTCGAAGACGACTGTTCTTGTACCAGGTAAACAAACAGATAAACTGGTTCCTTGTACCAGGTAATCAAACAGATAAACCGGTTCCTTGTACCAGGTAATCTAACAGATAAACTGGTTCCTTGTACCAGGTAATCAAACAGATAAACTGGTTCCTTGTACCAGGTAATCAAACAGATAAACCGGTTTCTTGTACCAGGTAAACAAACAGATAAACTGGTTCCTTGTATCAGGTAATCAAACAGATAAACTGGTTCCTTGTACCAGGTAATCAGACAGATAAACCAGTTCGTTGTACTAGGTAAAAAGCAGATAAACCGGTTCCTTGTACCAGGTAAACAAATAGATAAACCCATTCCTTGTACCAGGTAAACAAACAGATAAACCCATTCCTTGTACCAGGTAAACAAACAGATACATCGGTTCCTTGTACCAGGTAAACAACAGATAAACTGGTTCCTTGTACCAGGTAATCAAACAGATAAACCGGTTCTTTGTACCAGGTAAACAGACAGATAAACCCATTACTTGTACCACGTAAACAAACAGATAAACTGGTCCCTTGTACTACGTAAACAAACAAATAAACTGGTTCCTTGTACCACGTAAAGAAACAGATAAACTGGTTCCTTTTTACCAGGTAAACAAACAGATAAACTGGTTCCTTGTACCAGGTTATAAAACAGATAAACAAGTATAGAATGGTCGACCAGATGACGTCTCCGACTATGTGCGTCCTAATCATCTATCTATCAGATAAGAATCTAGCGGGAGACATTTAGCGGCCAAACTACCGTCCCCCAAAGTACGTCATCAGGACGGACGTTGCTCATATATTCGATGAAAAGGAAAGGCCTCTGTGAAATTAGGGTTTCCTCTAGAATAAAATCTTTTTTGAACCTTTAGGAATCCTAAAGTTCAGCTTTATGGAAACTGATTAGTTTTGTATGTTTTTTTAATTTCCTTACTTTAACATTATTTAAAAAAAATAATTTTCATTTTATTTTAGGCCGGCATTGATAAGCATGGAAGACCTGTAATAGTTTTCATTGGTGAGGAATATTTAAAAGGGACTGAGCTGAAAACTTTAGAATGGTGGACATCGAGATTAATGCTTGATCTTCTCTTTTTCTTAATATCGAGACTAACCTAATCTTGTACTTGTATCCTAAAAAGTGTATAAAATTCAACCAATCAGAGTTGCATATATGAAGCCGATAAATTTGAAATTTTGCGCGCCATTTAACATTATATACAGAAACAGGAGGGACTCCCTAATTTTGAAAAACTGGGTTTTTTATTTTTATCTTCTATATCCAAGAAAGAACGGTTTAAGAAGAAAATAAAAAGTGTGTTAATTGGATACTCAGATTAAGTAATTGGGATTAAGGATATCTTACTCTATAGTTTTCAGCTTTGTATACATAATTTTATATAGATCTTTATTTTAAGAATTGCGTGCATATTTCACAATGGTACCTTTTAAACCTTTATCTGAGTAACAATGTGAAATATATTGTCGTTTTCTCGGAAAGGGCTAATTTTTAAAAATCTCCATCATTGTTTCTGTTGCATAAGTCCGTGCAAGTCAATTTTGCAAAGAAACCACAGTTGGAATTAATCAATTTGCAGACAACTAAACAAGAATATATATATTTTTTTTTGCTACTAAAAAGTAATAAAATTACGTATGGCATTCGTATATATACGTATTTTTAGGTTTAGAATACGTAATAGTTGCATTAAATTTCTTACAATCAAATTCTCTTGAAAAGTCATAAAATATTATTAAATTCGAACTTAAAAACGAACTTAAAAATTTACGAAATTATACGTACTTTTAGGTTTTCATCAAACTTTCAAACTCTAAGAAAAATACAATTTTTTTAGTAAAGAAAAAACCGAAAAAAATACGTAAAATAAGAACAGAAAAAATCAAAAATCACTTGGTATTAGATTTACGAAAATAAACGTATTTTTAGGTTTGCATTAAACTTTTAAACTTAACAAAACAATACAATTTTTTCAGTAAAGAAATTCCGAAAAATGCGTAAGTAAAGAAAAAATCGAAAAATACGTAAAATCGAAACCTATAAATTTTGAAAAAGTATTTGGTGTGAATTTTAAGAAAATATACATATTTTAAGGTCTGCATCAGCCTTTTAAACTCTAATAATATCTATATATAAATTTGGCTTGTCTGTCTGTTTGTCTGTCTGTCTGTCTGTCTGTATCAAATAAACGTCAAAACGGCTGAACCGATCGGGCCCAAATTTTTTGTGGGACATCTAGGGACCCCAGGGAAGGTTTATGAATGATCAAAATTTCAAATATTTGTCTCCATCAAAATTCGCGAATTTCTTTTCCCAAAGGATTGGCATATAAATTTATACGTAAATATACCTAATAATACATAAATATATAGAGGCGTTAGTATTTTTAGGTTTTCGGGTTAGTAGGGATAGTCAGGCTAGTCAAGAAACAAATCGTAAACTTTTTTTTCGAAACACTGTCCTTTACTTTTATTTGAGAAATTTTAGTGGAGACATTAAAACTTCAGAACGAAAGTTTACTATTATTTTTTATATATGAAATTTACAACAAAGACGAGCAAAAAATGCCTAGTTTTAGTCAGAATTTCGTCAAAACAAATATTAAAGTTGTCGTTTCTCAGATAAAGATTGTGAATCATTGATAGCCCTATCTTGAAGGTTTTATATATAATTAAGATAATAATTCATTCAAAGCTACTGCAGACGTAATTGCAAGTAACCCTCCATTAACGATCGTTAAAGAAGAGAGGAAACCGACCTGAAGGGCATCTTTACTTATCATTGAGTAGTTTTTAAGAAAATATCGAGAAATTTAAGCTCCCCCACAACTTTTTAACTTCATGTAAGACGACATTAAAAAAAGTTGCATGTATTTTTTTCAAAAACGATTGTTTTTCCAAAAACGGCCGTTTTTATAAATCGTTAACGATTGTTAACGACAACCCTTCGTTAATGATCGTTAACGACTACCCTTCATTAACGATCGTTAACATAATTGTCAATACAATTTTTTTCTCTAAAATGATTGTTTTTTCAAAAGCGATCGTTTTTTAAAAAACAATCGTATAAAAAACGGTCACAAATCGTTTTTAATAAAACGATCGTTTTCAAAAACGATCGTTATTTGTTTTCTAAAAGTTCAAAACGAGTGGGTCGTTTTTAAAAACAACGAGTGGGTCGTTTTTAAAAACAACGAGTGGGTCGTTTTTAAAAACGATGGTTTTTTCCCAAAAACGCTTAACTTGCAAGTAACCCTCCATTGCTAACCATATCTTGAAGGTTTCATATATAATTAAGATAATAATTCATTTAAAGCTACTGCAGACGGTAAGTGCAAGTGACCCTCTGTTTACAATTGGAGTGTCCATTCACAACGCTCTTTAAAGTTTTGTCTGACCAAGACCGAGTTAGACATCATTGTTTTTTTAAACTGTTATTTTTCAATTATGGTTTCTCTACAAAAGTGTCACGCACATTATTTACTCCAGAAAAAATAGCATTCTTAAACACTTTCATGAGCTAGAAAAACGACGATATTTTCCACATTATTGATCAGATGAAAGATGCTGTCGTGAATCGGGCTACCCCGATTTTTTAAATGGAGGATCACTTGAAGTTACCACAAAAGCCCGTTTCATTAAAAAGAAACAATGTTTAGGAAAATGGTTTAAGCCTGGTAGCGTGGATATGGAGAAAGCTTTGCTGTATCTAATTAGGTGAAAAAAAATTTTAATATGAATTAAGTTCTAAGCAGAGATTTAATCAATCTTTTGTTTTGACGTTTTTTTTCTCATTGTACGAGGTGTGATCAATAAGTCTCGCTGAAAAATTAGGGTTACGTCTAGAAGTCTCAGCTCTTAAATTTTTTTTAAGTTCACTATATCTAGACAGATACATACATTTTTGGCCAGGTTTGCGTCAAGCAAATTGTTGTTGTGATGTAAGGAGTGTTCTCCTGAAGCAGATTGCTGTTGTGATGTAAGAAGTGTTCTACTGAAGGTGGATTTGCTTCGTTGTCACAGCAGAGGAATATCTAGAATATTGATAAGAGAAAGGGGACACTCTGGAGGATCGGTTATCCAAAAAATGTTTTTATTTAACGATGCAAAAACCAAGCCGAACCCTGAAACATAATTCAGAACTAATTCAAAACGATCTTATCAACTTTAATGTTGGTGTAATAAGGTTTGGAAGAAAAAAAAGAATATTTGAAGGATTATGATGACATGTCCATTGTCCGGGCGGGAAAAAAAAACCATCAAGACCCCTAAAATAGTCGAAAACATCGCAAGTTGTTCAAACCATATTAGAGGCTACGAGTACGATGTTTTCCAGACAGCTTGATATGTGATTTTATGTTTTAAACAAAGTTGTAAAGCAAAATCTAAAAATGAAAAAGATCTGGGTTAAAATCACAAAGTCTCTGACTTAACACCAGAGGGATTACATTGATTATGGATCTTAAATGTAAATCAAAATCAGAAATATTCTCAAAAGTCCTTCATGCATTCAATACTCAATCTCTTTTTTTTTTATCACTCTTGAAGGGTCTAAAATAGACTCTGATGGATCAAGTTTGAGACCATTTTGAAAATTTTCTTGCTGTGACGCACGAAGCTGATTACTTTCGGGAGAACGCTCCTTACATTACAACAAAGATGTGATTGACGTCAACTGATCTAAAAATAAATCTGGTTTAAATATTGTGAACTTCCCTAAAAAAATACAGGACTGAGACTTCTACAAAGAAGTAACCCCTAAAAATCAAAAGACTGCGTTTAAAAACATTAAAATACTTTTAAAAATAATTAGCAACTTTAAACAGAGAAAAGAACGAAAGTCACTGTTATTTTGAAACACACCCATTACTTTTCAACCGTGAATTTTTTAAAATGGTTTTTTTTCCGTTTGTTAACGATTTAAAAATTATCGGTTTTTGCCGTTCGTTTACAGACTTTTCCGTTAATTTCCCATCCGCCGTTTCGTTAACGGAACTTTACCCAGCCCTACTTAGAAAAACTTTGAATAGGACCGTTGTGAATCAGACACTCTTGTCAATGGAGAGTCGCTTGAATTTACATTTACTAAATGTCAAATTTAAAATCTAAATATTGTAGAATTCTGGATTCTGTTGCGGACAAGGACTATTCTGTTGTTTTCTTCTGCACACGGTAAACTATTTAGTTTTTATTTTATTAAAGAAAAAATTTTTGGGGTTTTTTTATCCAATTTAGCAAACCAATTATTTCTTTCGACACCCCTTGGTTTACATACAACAAGGGGGAAACTGATTTTTGGAAAACTGCGAGGAAGGGAAATAAGAAATTTAAGGGTTTTGACCAATTTTGCCAACCAATCATCACATGTTTTGGAACCCCATTGGTTTTTTTTGGTAGAGAGTTCAAATTCCGTAGCTTAAAACTTGGGGGAAATCTTTTTTTGGATAAATAGAAAAAAAGTACTTTCCCTCTTTGAATATCAAAAGTACTTTAGTGGAAAAAGTGCTATTTAGATTTTATTTTTTTTTAAGGGAAATAAGAAAGTTTAGGTTTATTTATCCAATTTAGCCAACCAACCAACCAACCAACCAATTATTTGTGTTGACACCCCAAAACCATTAGTTTACATAAAACTTGAGGAAAATCCAATTTTCGAAAAAATAGAAAATAGTACTTTCTCTCTTTAAATATCAAAAATACTTTTGATGAATTTGATTTTTTCATTGAAATAGGAAATTTAAGATTTTTTGAATTTGGTCAAAGAATCATCAAATTAAGTAAGAAAATCAGTAAATATAATAAAGTACTATTTAGAGTTGATTTTATCAAGGAAATTAAAAATTTGAGGTTTTTAAACAATTTGGCCAAAAACCATCTTTTTTTTGCTTAACTGGGGAAAAATATTTTTTTTAAATACGAAATAGTTCAAGTATTAAAAAAACAATAAAATTGATAAGATCTAGAGGTATTTAGTCAAATTTGGTTAACAATACTCATTTATTTTGTTCAATTTGGTTTGGAAATCATTATAAATTATTTCATGTTCCGCGCGAAATAATTTTTTTTTAAATATTTAAAAATGATTTTTTTTATCGTAATAATTAAGAATTTAATTAGGACTGGAACTGATAATTATCTGTCGTACTGGTGGATTAAAGATATTTATGTAAAACTACCATATCATTACAAAAAGAATCTCAAAGGTAATTTTCAAACTTTTTTATGTTTAATTTAGTTTTTATGCATTTGAATTTTTATTTGCGACTAAAACATTTCCAATTTTGATTTCAAATAATTTATTTATTGTTAAATTGTTTCACTTCAAATCTTATTTTGAAGAATCCCTTTTAATCTCAACAACAGCGATCGCAAATAAAAGAAAATTATTATTTAACCATTGTCTTGCTAAAATCTAATTATCATTTTTATTTGTTTAAGATTTCTACATCGTACACCCATCAATGTGGACCCGGTTGACCACGTGGTGGTTCTCAACATTCATGGCGCCCGTCATCAAGCATAAGGTTGGCCGCCATTTTGAAAATTCAAAATTTTCCCGCCATTTTTGAAAGTTAAGCTCTCGCCATTTTTAAGTAAGTCAAACTTTATAAAAAAAACTATTTTAAATGAAATCAATGAAACGTTGCATATATTGTATTCTTGAGAGAAGATTCTAGAATTCTAGAGAAGAATTCATCTGACCTTGATGCATGCATGAAACCATGATGATTATTTATTCATCAATTATCGGAAATATTTCTAATATATATTCGACATTTCAAGGGATTTCTCTAACTTTGAATCAACCAATTTATTACTTTTTAAAATATTTTAATATTATTTTTTAATTCTAGATTCATAATGTCTACGCGGTTACAGAACTGGATTCAATTATCCACTCTACGCAGTTCGATATTCCCATGTTTATTCAGGTATCTTGACAAGTCAGGGGCGTATACAGGGACAGTGGGTTTACATATTCGTTTTCAAAAGTTTAATGGGACTTGAAGCGTAATTTCAGATGACCTTCCAAGCAAAGATTGCAATGCCCGATTCACAACGGTACCCTTGAAACCTTTGTCAGAAAATAATATAGAAGTTGTTGTCGTTTACCAAGGTTTAAAAGTGTTCAGTTCTAATGATTTTCTGGAGTAGAATTGCGCAAGTTGCTTTTTAAGAACAAACCAAAATTTTAAAAGAATGGTTTTCAAACTATAAGCATGGATATCTAATTCATTCTTGATAAGATTAAGTTTTTATTGGTACCGTTGTGAATTGGGCTCATGCATCTTCACATGGAGTGTCATTTGAAATTAAGCTAACAGTCTTCAAGGCATCAAACTGTGTTGCTTGCTCATTGCTTATATAACATCTAAAGGGAAATCACTGTTTAAATATATTTAATTTTTATTCAGGAATATGATATGAGCATCAACGGATTGAGATACTATCAACCTTAACAGCTGACCACTTAGAGATCAGCTGATCACCTGGAGATCAGCTGAACTTTTGGAGATCAAATCAACAAAATCAATCGCGCCCAATCGTCTTGATCAATTGATACCGAATCAAATTCTCACATTACTTCTGAATTGATTGATCAAATGGAATCAAATTATCAAATATTTTGGTTCTTTAAAAGTTTACCGGATCCTGTAACACTCACTTACTTGCTTATTTACACATTAATGTTGCCGTAGACAATTCTTAGGTTTTTTTTTCTCAAATTTCAACTTTCCAATTGTGCAAATTGCCAGATTAAACTTCCCAAATAAAAATTTATAGAAATTAGAACTTGTTTTGTCAATCTCAGAATCAAGCATTGATCTCCATCTTTGGCAGACCATCGGGTTAATTTAGTTTTTCTTAAATATCCAGTAGTATTCATACCCTGCAGGATTGGATATCGAGATCAATCATTTTAGAGAGGTCCACACAAATATTTCAACCTCCCTTTAAACTTCCCAACTTAAAATTCCCAAAATGAATATCCCAAATCATAAACCAGAAATAAAATTCCCAAAATTCGAGTATTTGGAAAATTGTACATTTGGAAAGTTACAACCTAGAAAAAAGCCTAATATATTGAGCATATATTATAAAACACATTAAACAGTATTTTATGAGACACTAATTATAGAAAGAACCTTCGTAGCTCTTCCTAAAATCCCTTAAATCGACCAAATTGGAGAGCAGAAATTTGTACATTTTTAAATCAAACAAAAATATAATATTTCCAATTACAGTTCAAATTACTTTGTGCCATTCTGTTCTTTAATCATTGACACCGACGTTTGCTTTTATTACTTTAGTATACAGTTCAACCCCATTCCCCTGGGAAAAGGAAGACGACTTGATACAATTGTGGCAATTGTAGAATGAATTGCAAACAGACCAATTTTACTTAATACGTTGATTTTCAAGCAACTGAGGCCGAATTTAAAGAATTTGAGCCGCGGCTCAAATATGGTTGGTTCCACTCAAAATTGTATTCAATTTTTCAAGGTTTATGCTGGCGCTCAATTGAAACTGATTTTTGGGGGATTTGAGACGCGGCTTAAATTCATTAAATTCGGACACTGGTAAAACTATCTTGTTTGTAGCATCAAACAAACCTAAGATTGTTTAAATGTCGTCTTCCTATTCTACAGTTTTATGCTTCTCACTGTATGAACATAAATATGATTAGAATAATTGTATTGGCATAAATTTAACTTTGCACATTTTTGATATTATGCATTTTTATACGAACACTTTTTCACGCCATATTGACCTGTAATCCTTACTTTCCCATTTCTTTAAATAGTACTTGACATGTTTAGTATTTCGTTAATTTTTAACGAATTGGCAAAAAATAAAAAATGTTCAAACTATTTCGACAGAAAATAAGCTTGATATTCCTAATATATAAAAAAATTATACAATACTTTTTTGACTTATTAATTAAGATTAGTTTAGCATTAATTGTTCAATGTTTATTAGGTGTTATTTAGTTAAAATATGACGTAAAATAACAAACTAATATAAAATATGATATTTGTACACTGACATTTATAAAAAGTATTTTATTTGCTTTAATAAACTGTAGAAATAAAATAACTTGATTTTTTTTATTGATTTAAAATTTACTCCTTTTGCATTAGAACTATAAGTGGCCTTTCCAATATTAAGCAAAGTAATTATTGCCTTCGTTTCTTGTAGACGTAACTGTAGAGTAACCCTCCATTAAAGTGGCATGCCCGATTCCCAACGGCGCTCTTTAAATGTTAGTCTAAGCAATCCTTATCGTAGTTTTCTTTCTTTAAAAGTAGTAACGAGTTCTGTAAATTTTATTCTGTCTCTGCTGCATACAATCCGTAAGTCACTTTCATTGAGAAACCACGATTAGAAGTGATTAGTTTTTTAGAAAGAAAAATAAGGATATTGTACTGTATTTAAAGCATGTTCAATCCTACCAAACTCCTCGCCCCTTTCTCTGAGTCATGGCAGTGTATAGAACCTGGAATTGACAAGTGCACCCAGGAATCTTGAACAGAATAGACGTATGAGCGTAACCCTCAGCATCACCTGGGAAATATCTGGTTTCTGGTACTGATCCAATAGTAACCATACCAGCCAGTATAACCACAAACCAAGATATATCAGATGCTGCTCCATTTTCCACAGTAGACTTTATACAAGGACCCAATCTTGCTTATGATCCGGAGCAGCTAGAATACCCAACCAGAACTATTACTCCAGGAGTAGAGGACATGCTGCTCTTTACAGAAAGCTCTTCACAAATATGTTGTAGAAGCAGCTGAGGCACAAGATAATCTTGAGGCAGTAGACGCTGCTCTTAACAGACAGCTCTTCACAGATCTATTGTAGAAGCAGCTGAGGCACAAGATAATCTTGAGGCAGTAGACGCTGCCCTTAACAGACAGCTCTTCACAGATCTATTGAAGAGGAGCAGCTGAGGCACAAGATAATCTTGAGGCAGTAGACGCTGCTCTTAACAGACAGCTCTTCACAGATCTATTGTAGAAGCAGCTGAGGCACAAGATAATCTTGAGGCAGGAGACGCTGCTCTTAACAGATCTATTGTAGAAGTAGCTGAGGAACAAGATAATCTTGAGGCAGTAGACGCTGCTCTTTACAGACAGCTCTTCACAGATCTATTGTAGAGGCAGCTGAGGAACAAGATAATCTTGAGACAGGAGACGCTGCTCTTTACAGCTCTGTTGTATAAGCAGCTGAGGAACAAGATAATCTTGAGGCAAGAGATGCTGCTCTTTCTAGACAGCCAATAGAAGCAGCTGACGAACAAGAGATCTTGATGCAGGAGACGCTGCTCTCAAAGACAACTAACTATTCAAGACCTGTTGAGAAACCTAAAGCAGAACCAGGGGATCCTGAGAACGGAGATGCCACTCATTATAGAGCAGCTCTTCACAGCCCTGTTGAGGAATCTACAGCAGAACCAGACGATTCCGCTTTCTATCTTCCTACCTTTCTTTATTTCATATTTCTATCTTCCTACCTTTCTTTATTTCATATTTCTATCTTTCTGTCTTCCTACCTTTCTTTATTTCATATTTCTATCTTTCTCTCTTCCTACCTTTCTTTATTTCATATTTCTATCTTTCTATCTTCCTACCTTTCTTTATTTCCTATTACTATATTCTTTCTGTCTTTATACCTTTCTTTATTTCATATGTCTATCTTTCTATCTTCCTACCTTTCTTTATTTCCTATTTCTATCTTTCTATCTTCCTACCTTTGTTTATTTCATATTTCTATCTTTCTGTTTTTCTACCTTTCTTTATTTCATATTTCTATCTTTCTATCTTCCTACCTTTCTTTCTTTCATATTTCTATCTTTCTATCTTCCTACCTTTCTTTATTTCCTATTTCTATATTCTTTCTGTCTTTATACCTTTCTTTATTTCATATTTCTATCTTTCTATCTACCTACCTTTCTTTATTTCATATTTCTATCTTTCTTCAGTTCTATCTTTCAATTTTTCTTCCTTTTATTCTTTTTTTCTTTCTTTCTGGTTATCTTCATATCAATTTCTACCTTGTTGATTTAACTTAGTTTAATTTAATAATCTCTTCTTGTATTTCTAAAATATTCGTCTGTTTAAAAGGCCTGAATATCTGAATTAAACATCCTCTCTTTCTGCATATAAGTACTATTACAAAAATCGTAACCATTCAGAAGTATATTTTGTAAAAGCGAACTGCACTCGATAAGATTCAAACACTACAAAATGCAAGCTCTAAATAAATTAAAACTAATAGTTTCCTTTAATTATTCAGTTTGAACTGAACTGAACTGCTCCTGGAACCAGCTGAAAACGGCGACAAGATGCAACGCCGAGAAACCAAGTCGTCACAAGATAATGGGACAGCATAGATTCTGTCCATTTTTCGGCTAACCATAATGAAAATATATCTAGGAACCGAATGATCCTAGTTTCTACATTTCATATGGGATGCCGCATTATTAGTAAATTGCTAGCACACTAACTTAGCAGTTTTAAAAGGATACTAACGAACCTTCAATGTTCGTATCCAGTATACCTTATGTAATGAATTATTATGTAACATCGTAACATCCTGCTAAGGAAGTCGCAATAGTATGAAGACGAACCATCAATGTTCGCATCTATTGCACTTCGGTCGGTCGAGTAATTCTTAACTAATGTATTCACTCTTTTACCGATCACATGAATTTTAGATAGTAACGAATTAACATATTCTCGCTTAATGTGTAGCCTCAATAAAAACGAAGAACAGACAATGTTCCTCGNTCTCTCAGTCATAATTCATAAAAGAACGCTATCATTTCTTCTCCTTTATTCTATCGAAATGTTACTTTACCAACCAAATGTTACTTTCTTTTGTATTTCTAACTTTCTTTTATATTTCTATGTTTCTTTCTTTTAATCTATCTATCTCGAAACTAGATTTTTATTGGCTTAAGTTGTGTGTCAAGGTTGTATGAAAAGGTTGCTTACTCTTGATGCACTTTATGAAAATGTCGTCTCCTGAGATAAATAGATAAAACCTCATATGACGTCATTGATTATAGAGGCGAGAGTAAAGTCATATAAGGTTTTTGCTTGGGAGACGACATTTTCCGTACATTGGAGCGCATTGAGAGTAATCAACCTTATTAGACAACCTTGGTCTTTGTATAGGAAAATTTCTTTATAGAAAACTAGGTCAAACATGGGTGTAGGTTGCTTTCTACAGGGTTATCCACCAAAGATGAGAAATCCTTGTGCAAACTTTAATCATTTTCCCCTTATTTTCCCCGTATTTTCCCCTTATTTTCCGTACAGCTTTGTAATTGTTTTTCTTTCTTTGCCTAACTACAATATGATCAAGTTTTCTTGCAAGTTTGACTTCAGAAATCCACTAAAAAAATATTTTAACAGCAAATTCAGTTTTCCATTTCTATAGAACATTTTGATTTATGTAAAACCGGTGAACTGAAAACCATTGTGGATGACTTTGCCAAGCTTAATTATGTGTCAAAGTTGATGGTGGCGACTTCAAACATAAAGTTGATGTTCAGCGTTTTTTTTTGTAAATGTTCTTTTGTATACTGAATACAAATTTTAAAAAGTTCATTTTTTCTTGATGTTTAATCCATTTCTGAAGTTAAACTTCGTTGTAGTAATACTATATTTTATAACACCAAATCAAACTTTTAATTTAGAAAATTTCTAAGGTTTAGGTCTCATCCTTTAAGAGCAACCCTGTGTCCCGATATCAATATTTAAATCTTGCAGAGGAACCAAACCCACGTTCAAGTACCGCTATATACAGTGTGTCCTAAGAAACATGACAGTTGTAGGAATACAGTAGACTGCAGTGGAGTACAGAGGAACACAGTAGACTGCAGAGGAGTACAGAGGAATACAGTAGACTGCAGTGGAGTACAGAGGAATACAGTAGACTGCAGTGGAGTACAGAGGAATACAGTAGACTGCAGTGGAGTACAGAGGAAAACAGTAGACTGCAGAGGAGTACCGAGGAATACAGTAGACTGCAGAGGAGTACCGAGGAATACAGTAATACAAATACAAAAGAGGAGTAGAGATCAGATTCAGCTGAAAAGATATCATGACGATGCTAACTTTGGTAAGTTTTTTTATCAAATTCAAATTTAAGAATTTTTTCATAATATTAAAAAAAATAATTGCAACAATTGTAGGTCCTTATTCAAGAGACTGTTTT